TCTATCTATCTATCTATCTATCTATCTATCTATCTATCTATCTATCTATCTATCTTACTCACTTTCACTCACTAACTCGCTAACTTTGTCCAAATAAGTCTTTTGCTGTCAATGTACTCTGTCTGCATTTTTCTCGAGAGCTTTGGCAACCGCAACACCAAGTTCTATTTTTAAAAATGCTTAGCAAATCAAACTTTGGAAACACTTCAATTGTCTGCTATTAGTACAGATTCAGAAGTCGACCAACAGATTTCCTGTCGCTACAACAAGAGCTTCACGTCGCATTTTTAAAGCTGAAAGTTTTTTACTGTAGCAGTGGAGACTTTATAGTATGCTAATCAAACAGAAAAATGAACATTGTTGGCGAACAATCTGTTTCTACCAAAGACTGTGTACAAGATACGCTACTCCCGATTATTAATTATGTCCGCTACTTTCTATGCATGTTATCGACATTTACACAACAACGCTGTATAAACGTTTCTTTCATTTCTGTAGCTGAAGCCTTCAGTCTTTGAGAAAGTACAAGGACAATGGTGGTACGGTAGTTTTTCAACACAGAAATGGTATCCCTTGACTTAATTTTCTTTTACTGATCCGAAAGTTCACTTTGCACACCCTCAACAGTTTAGATATCTAGAATAATTATATTTGCCTCTAATACCAAATGTTCCACATGAATAAAACTAAGGCTTGCAATGGCTAAAGATAATTTCTATAATATGAGCCCAATTCTGAAAAATATAAACATCTCAATGACTACTAAAATAAATGTTCTTAAAAGTTTTGTTTTCAACCCTTCTATGCAGCTGTAAATGCTGGACAATCACTAGAGACAGTGAAAATGAAATAGAAGCAACAGAAATGTGAGGGTTTGGTTTTTTTTGAGAATGTGGGAAGTTTTGGGAAGGAAAAAGAATGCAGATAACATAGGACGTGAAGAAAGCCATTGGGGTTGTTCGCTTTTAAAACAATGAAGAAGAGACAAGTTTTCTGGGACACTTGAATAGACATAATAACCTTGAACATCTGGCTCCAACTGGTAAAATTAAAAAGCAAACTAAGCAGAGGTAAACCAGCCAGCATCTTATTATGAAAACTTAAACAGATCGGTGACGGGAAAAGATCAGGATAATAATAATATAGCTTTAATAGAGCATTCGAACAAAGGAATAAATGGCGTTCCATGATCACCAATGTATGTCGCAGATCTGGCACTTAATGATGATGATTTAAGACATTGTACTATTATATATTTAATTAAGACAGCCATCTTTCTTTCACTTACTTCAACATGCCCTGGGTTATCCATTTTTTACAAATGTGCATTCTTGGGGATGGGTGGTAAAGGGGGAGGAGTGGCATATCGATTTCTTCTTTAACATCATTTATTAACTTTATTAAAACGTTCATTTCTTCCCCATAATTCTTCAGATCAAGTAATGTGATTGAAAGCTCTGGTTTTATTAATTAATTACATCAATAAAGAAAAGTGCTTTCTATTCTTACGTTATCTTGAAAAGATCTATAGACATTTGGGCAGGTGTTTTGACTTCAGGGGGATTTTTTAAAGACGTTCTCTGCATCTGACACATACCTGGTACATTGCCACTATAAAAATTTGCTCTGGACAGTCATTTTGATTATTAATTTATGGCGTTTCTGGAACGCTTCTATGCTAGTGTAAAGCCCGCTAACCCTAGTTGTGCTGTTTGGGCGACGAGGGGTGAGGGAGGCCGTACGTAAAAAAGAGTTTTACAACATAAAATTGGAATTCATGCCCCTGTAAAACATGCCCTGGCAGGCAGCGTGAAAGCAGCCTGTCCCCAGATTATTTAAATGGCATGAGAGCGGGTGTAAAACCATTGAATATGGATTTTCAGCCCACTGGAAAACATCGCGTGGCAAGGACAAGAACGTGAAACCCCGGAGAAAAATGCAACAAATCACACCTGTGCAACCCGGAAGAAGTCAGAGAAATAGTGCAAGCCAGCTCATTACGTTGAATGCGTACGTTACACATATGTGATTGTGTTTATTTGTGCAATCATGCTCTCACCCGTACATAACTGTGTCTATGAATCTCTTTGGGTTTTTTGGGGGAAAGGGGGTGGGTACTGTTGTATTATAATATACTTACTTACTTTGGAGTATCTTCTTCGTCTTTTGTGTTCACCTTCCATCGACCTGTCTTTTCTTTCTGGACCAAGTGCGTGGCCTTCCAAATCACATTATACTTGTGTCTAGCAGGGCGTTACACCCAAACCCAAGATTACAATGAGAAGTGTTGTGTCCACAACAACGTATTACAACCTGATCTGTATTCCTAGATTGTATGGCCGTCTATATCAATGCTTTCCAGCAAAGATGATATCGCCCACCACTGGGCCATTTGGTAATTTTATACGGGGTGCCCATTGGAGAATCGGGTCGGGTCGGGGTGAAGTGGTTTGCAAACCAAATTGATGGCGTAAAGCGGCTATCGTGGCACAAGCCGATAGCGACCGACTCATCGCCTCAAAAACAAATGGGTTTGTTTTCAGAAGACGAGTCGGGCGATTGACCCCACCCAACCCGATCCCACCCGCAATGGGCACCTCGCATTAGAGGGCGGCGTGGATCACCCCGGTACTGACAGGTATTCTGTAACGAAGTGGCTATTCGGATTCGAATCTGAATAGCATCCCGTGGCTATTCGGACTCAAACCCCAATACCATTGAAGGGTTGTTTGTTTATCCAACACAATCGAAATATGTATTGTTTTGTCCTGATTTTATTTCAACATCAGGAAGAATAAATATGCCCATGAAAAGCTTTTCCTTTAGACCACTGTTACTTGGAATGACTGACTTTTGTTCCCTTTGGAAGGGTTTTAACTTTTCTCTTCTTAATTTCTAACTGGATTTCCAATTTATCAATTATTTTGACTTTCTCGTCAAATAAAGCAGGTTTAGACTACCTATTGATACCTATAATCATTTGTTGTTCTGAAACTTTGATTTTCATTTTTTTTTCTCACTTCTTTGAGCCCAGCCTTACCTTCCCCTGTTTCCTTTGTGGTGTAGCATTTCAGATTTTGCAACTGTTGTTCACTTTTGACGTCACTAATACTTTTCTTAATTTGTGTCGAAAAATTTGGTCAGATCGTAGAAACCGAGGAAGGCTAAGGTCAAATTACCTGTCCGCTTCACACCCGGTACACCGGTGAATGCGTATGCGCATTGAAATTTGAGTCCGAATAGCAACGGACGGCTATTCAGACTCAAGTCCGAATAGCTGCAGCCATTCTGTAAGGCGCCGCATGGAAATACATACAGATAGGAGGCACGAACATTTCTAACCTGTTAATGGTGGCGAAAGTGCGCGCTGGTTATAAAAAGGTTTACAAGCACTGATTTATAATGATAAGTACTAGGATGTCGGTAAGAAGAACACTATTTTTTTCTTCCCGTAGCACAACAGCCTTGCAAAGGGATAGGTAGTTGGGGGGTGTGGTGGGAGTGCACACTGAAGACAGGAAATCTTGTAACACGTACAACTACGTGAAAAGTATGACGCAAACTTTATATTCTATTGCAAAAACGATACCAAAGGACACGACAATCACACACACACACACACACACACACACACACACACGCACACACACACACAAACACACACACACACACACGCACGCACAGAGAGGAAAAAGCACTCCCCCCTTCCCTCACGACTCACACGCTGAGTCGTGACACACCCACACACACACACACATTGAGACATATATCCCCA